TTTTTTTTTTTTTTTTTTTTTTTTTTTTTTTTTTTGTTTTTTTATAATACATTCTTATTATTTCTTATACTTCTTTTTTCTTTCTACCTACGTTTTCTTCTTTCTTCTGTCAATTCGTGTGATCAGTGAATTTGTTGAAAAATATTATAAAAGAAATTTCAGAGAAGATATTTTTTAAGGATGTTTGAAGGACGAGGATAAAAAAAGAAATAAATCATATTATACGAAATATATTCCACAGAAGGCAGTATTAATTAATAACATTTCAATCATCCTATTTGCGAATGTGTTATTCGTTTAGCCGAAATATGTATGTAGATTTTATAAGACTGGTGTAAATCAATCTTAAATTACTATTGCGAATTATTATTATCGTAGTGTTATATTGATCCAATTATTATTTCATTCATTGGATGCGTCACTTTTTTTTATTAATTTATTTTATTTCTTGTATATTTTTTATCCTTATATCTTTTATTTTCATATCCAATATTTTATTGAAAGATTTACGTATATATATATATAAAGAGAGAGATTTTAATTTATTGTTTGTTAGCTTGTATTATTAAGCTTGAAAAGGAGCTCGTGAAAAATAATAATTAATAATTCTTCGAGAAATCGCGATACTTTTCGATTTACACCGATCTTATCTCATTTTTTTAATCATCCAGTTTTATTACTATTTTTTGGTTTTAATTGTTTCTTTTTTTTATTGTTATTATTATTATTATTTTATTTTTTTGTTCTATTCATTGCATTGTTCGGAAAAAGCTCTGTAAAAGAGCGAAGGCAAGGATTTCAATTGTAGTATTGTATCTTATTTTTTTTATTTTTTTTAATCTTTTTCGAATAATAATTTTTTTTTTTTGGTTGGTTTCTTTCTTTCCTTTTTTTTCTTCTTCTTCTTCTTCTTCTTCTTCTTGTTTATATATTAACAATACATTTATTATGTGTACAAAAAGAGCTACGCGATAATGATCCCATGTTCTCTACATATACAATTGTCATTCCTTGCTGATGTTAATTATATCGATATTTTTTTTAAATCACAGGTTATTCGGAAAAGTAATCATCATTTTGTTCTTTTTATTTTTTGCTTTTTTTTTTCTTTTTTATTAATTAACGAGTATCATAGCTTCAACGTATCTGACGTTTATAAGAGATTTCTATTATTTTTTTCCTTTTTTTATTCTTTCATTTTGTCGTTGGAAAGACTAACATTCTATAATATTCGTATCACAAATTGTAAAAAAAAGGAAAAACCAAATGTTTAACAAAAACGATTATATTAATAAAAACATTTTTATAAGTCTCGAGAGAAGAAAAATGAATTTTCTTTGTCCTTATTTCTAAATTAATTACAACGAAAAATATATTTCTCATTAAAAGTATATAGGAATATTTATCTTTCCTTTTTGGAAAAACTAAATTAAAATAACTTTCAGATCGTTTCATTAGGAATGAGTCTTATAAGAGAATGTTTAAATAATAATATGGACAAAAATATTGAAAATAAATGTTGATCAAACTATCGAGCTTAATCGATGTTACGACAATCGATTTAATTCTCTGAAAAAAAAACAATGAGTAAAAATTTAAACTAATCAAATATGAGGGGGGAAGAGAGAGGGATCCCTCTACAAAAAACAAAGTATAATATATAATATAAAATT